AAAAAAAAGAAACAACTGAATGAAACCTTAAAAAAAAAACGTCTAGTTCTTATAAAAAACTTTATTGGTAGATAACAGATTTGGGGGTTGATATTGTGATATCCAAAATTACTCAAACAAGTCATTTAACTAAAAAGACAGTGAGCAATTTCTTAAAGGTCAATTTCAGTCGAGTTCAAAGACAGGCAATAAATGAAATGTTGATTTTCACCTATGGAAATGGCAAAGATTTTTAAAAGAACAGGATAAAACTTGGCAAAGCTCAGAGAAACTGCTGCTAAGTGAATGTGTGCAGCTGTTGTGGAGGGTTACATGAAATACGAACTCAGAGCCTTCAACAAACGCATACTATTTCATCCTAGAGGTCATTTCCCTACAATTTTCCTGAAGAAATAATTTGAGGCCTAAATGTTTTAGCTACTTAGGATCTTTACTGCAACACTGCTTGTAATAGCAAGGAAAGTTCTAGAAAAAGCTTCCGTGTACAGCAATAAATGGATAATATATAATCTATACAACAGGATGCACGCCTCTTAACTGAACTTCACTTAACACAGTCACACAACTCCCCAGGGCCTGTCCCTTCCCATCAGCCACCTCGGGACCCCACTGGGTTTATAGGTAGATGTGCAAAATTCTGTGAAGAGCCACGTGAAGCTCGGGTTGGTAGTAAGTAGCACATGGGGAGATGAAGACTGAGCCAGCAAGCTACCAGAGCGCTGCACAGGCTGAATTCCAGGAGTCATACTGCACAACTCCAGAGCAATGGTGTTCGTGCCCAGGACTGACTATGCCAGAACTGCTTGTTCATAGTAACTGTGATTTCAATATATACTAAACTAAGAGGATTTTCTTTAAAAGCACTCCAGCTAATTCTGAGGAGGAGCCAAGTTTGTGACCACTGATCTTGAAGCCACTCGAAAGACTTCCTGGGAGCACCTTTTCAGAGATGACTTTTTTCTTCTCTACAGCCTGGTCTTTCTCCTCTGAATTTGATCAACTTCCCGTCCCATTAAGGAAAAACCTGGGTCTTGGCTGCAGACTCATGGAATACCTGCCTTTGGGTGCTTAGGTGACACTGTGATACATAGCCCAGCACCACTGATTAGCAGTGGTGGGGTCTTGAGCAAGTTACTTAACGTCTCTGTGCTTCAGTTTCCTGAGTGACCTAACCCTATGAGGGGGGTGACAGAACCTACGTCATCGTGTTGATGGAGGAAACAAATGATCTAACACCTGTCGAGTGTGTAGAACAGTGTCTACCTAGCACATGGTAAATGCTCCAGAAGCATGTGCAGCTGTTATTATTATTTTTCTTGTTTTTTAATCAGCTACATCCTGCCCAGCCCCTAGTGGAGTGTAGTCAAGAGCTGCCTGGTGAGTGAAAGAAAGAACGCACAGTCCTGTGTTTCCTCATATAGAGCCTGTCTGACTAGCGCGACCTGCGATGGCTTTAGATCTAAGGTTTCCCACAAATCTTTCCGAATGTCACATCTTTCATCAAATCCCTTCAACTCAACTTTTCAACAACCCTGTGTAACAACAAAAGCTGGGAAGTAGAGGGAGGCAAAACACAAAGGAATCATGCAGGGTGGATGGGATTTAGATGACACAGGGGGACTGCAGCAAAGGTCGGGCTTGAAGCGTGCCCTCCAAATGCCTTGGCAGGAAGCCACAGTATTGGGCTGTCGGAAAAGTAATGACGTATTTTTTTCTGTTTTTCGTTGCAAAAATGTGTCATGACTTTTCCGACAACCCAATGTATATCGCGGGTTTGCGATACGCGTAAGCTAAGAATGTTTCCAATGGTGTAAAAAGGCATCAGCCCTAATTTTTTAACAGACAGGAGGCAACATGGTAGGTTCACAATATAAACCATCTTGAAAGCATTTATTATTTGATAGCTCTCTCCCGCTTTGCCCCACCCAGCCACTCTCTCGTTCTGCTTTTCTGATCATCCTAAAAGCTGAATATATTCTTTTTTACTATGGAGGATGAGAATGAATGCTAAAACCAATACAGGTGATCAGGCCTTCATCAGGCGCTTCGTCAATGAGGAGTGCTGGTCTTCAACAAGCGCAGGGTCCCTAGGGCTCCACAAGGTATTCCTTTTCCAAGGTCACCGGGACACTCATGGAGTTAAAGTGCCGCTGCCCATCTAAATACAACATGGACTCTGAAACACAAGAGAGAGAAACATGGAGAAACTTGCAGCACCTCAGAAAAGCATGGTACAAACACAAAACTACTCAAAAACACTGGGACAGCAATGAGAACGCAAAACCAGTACCAGGCAAGCACTACTGGGCCAGGGGCTGTGCAAGGTTCCTGGGGTGGGCCTCGACTCCCGCCCCTTTCTTTTGACCACCAGTGGCTGGCACTGGCCCTTCAGGCAACAGCCGGGTGGGCAGAGCAGACACAACTGCCTGCGGTCATGAGGGCATCCTGTCCATCAGGGCTGCAGAACCTCCAAAGCACAATCGCCTAAAGATATACTCTCGAGCTAACAGGCATCAGTGTGCTTCCCACAACTTAAAAAGAGAAAAGTTTCTCTAGAAGTTCTTCCCTTTGTTGGGGACAGCCATCATTGCTGCTCACCGCCGTATGTTCTGGGGAAAACCAAGGGCACATCGTTCTCCGACATGAACGTGAAATGAAAGACATTGGTGGTCGTATGTTCTTTATTCTGCAGAGAGGCCACTTCACTGTGTACTCTGACTTGAATATATTTGTCTTGGGTAAAGCAAACCTAAAGAATGACAGACACGACAGTCAGTCAATCGCATTGGGAAGGGGGACCAAGGCGGTCATAACAGAAGAGTGGCTTTAGAATAGAAAAACTTCTCTTTTAGGCCCAAATTATTTTTTAAAAAATGTCTTTGTTAATATTGCATACCTACCTGGGAAGAAAGAAACAGCAAGGATCCAACCTCAACAGGTTTCTGAAACATGATATCGTCCACTGCTACTACAAATGGTCGGGAACCACTATCAGGAAAGGCAGAATTTGGGGTCAACTGCAAAATTCAGATGATCTCTATTTTTCCCCTAACAATCTGCTGAGGCAAAATTTAAATCATCAAGTAATAAACCTAGTAAAAGGGAAATAATTGTACCAGTGAGGAACAGTAAGAGATGCCACTGTGACCAGATAAGTGCCAAAATCACCATGTCTTTTCCCTTCAACATAGCACCACCTCCTTTTCTCAGGAGCTCTTTACAGGCGTACCTCAGAAATATTGCGGTTTCAGTTCCAGACACCACCACAATAAAGTTAGCATCAAAATAAAGCAAGTCATAATCTTTTTGCTGATGGAAGGTCTTGCCTTCAATTTATTAAAAAATGCAACATCTGTGAAGTGCAATGAAGTGAAACACAATAAAATGAGGTATGCCCATAACGTGCTAACTTAACCTAGTCAGAGCACCAATCTTCTAAAATGAAGATCAAACCCAACTGGTATCAGTGCTCTATTTATTTTAAAACAAAACAGGGCCGACCGAGTGGCTCAGTTGGTTAAGAGCTCGCTCAAGAGTTTGAGCTCTGAGCAACAGCGGTTCGAGTCCTGGCCCGAGCTGAGCTGCCAACAGGTGGCAGGATGGCTCAGCTAAGAAATAAAAATAAAAATAAACCAAAAACAAAACATATTCCCCAACACATCCAGACTGGTCCACAATGTTTCATTTCAGTGGGGTAATAGAAATTGCTTCTTAGGAGTGCAGACTACCTTAAACCGAACTCACCCAAAGTTACAAGCAGTAGCCCATCCAAGTTCATATGCTTTCCTCATAAGGAAACCACCAAAGATCCGATTGAAAATGTTCCTCTCCTACACAACATAAATAAATATTAACAAATACAAGTTCATGGCCACCCTCATATAACAAAGGAATTCACAACACAGAGGCCAGTTTAAAGGTATCAAATCTTAAATGAGTATCACAAATGCAAGTTACCTATTTAGAAGATTCTTCACTAAATTACAGTACCTGAGGGTGGCAAACTTCCAAGCTCTTCAATTTTGAATCCTCCATCCACACTGCATTAGGGGGCAAAATTCGACTTCGAAAACTTATTGTCCTGTGCAAAAAGAGATTCAGTAAACCATAAAGGCCATGGTTTCACTGCTGAAAAGCAAAGTATTTGCAAACAATTCCCAGTATGCTCAGGCAAGCATGGTTCTGGAGAAGGCCAAGGTTTGAATGCTTTCCCATCGTGGAATCTGACCAGCCTAACTTACTTTGGATCCAGCGTGCTAAGAAACATCTCATGTATGGCCGTCCTCTCCTTAGCACTGGGAGCCATTTTCAGTAACGATGTGGAGCTGAAGGCAACCCTTCTCCCCTTGTTCACTGGAACAAGGGACAATAAAGAGCCACAATCAGGAGGGTCACACTACACACTGGGGTTCCTGACCTGGGCTGCCTTGGACCCTACAAAGGGAGTATTTCCAGACTACATAAAGGGCACTGGAAATTGTACATATATCCCACATAAAACTCAAGTGATCCTTTGCTTTCATATGGAAATTCCATCAGCTCAGTGTGAAACCACATATAATCCTCCTGACCTAGAGCCCTGACCAGCAGCTATTTCATTAAGATACTTTTCCCAGTTCATTAAAAATGACAAAACAAGCTCCTTCAATTGATAAATAATGGTGGACTGATAAAACTGTTCAAAGTATGGACTCCATGGAACAAAAAATAAGGGATTTTTTACTTCAATAAATTCTTGGTATGAGTAAGACATCTGACTGGTATAAGGAATCCGTACATATTCTTGAGTAGTTTCCTCTACAGTACGGTCAATGTGCTTTTTAAAGTTTATCTTATTATAAACAAATTAATATACATTCTCCTTGTCTAAAGAGCTCTTCTTCCTCAGGGCCTTCAGGGATGAGCGGGTTTACAAATGCCGGCCTAAAGAGAAGAAAAGAGTACAAGTTTAAAATATGCCATCATCTAATAAAAATGGAAGATGAACAATTACCCACTATTTTTAAAGTCTTTGCTGTTTGTTTTGGGTAACGCTTACTGACTGCTTCACACAAGAACTCTGGAACAGTTAGGGGAGGCTTCTGGATTAAGACTTATCTGCACACTAGAAGGTTCACATTATAAGAAGGACACAGCCACCTGCCAAAATGTTTCACCTGGTCCTAATCATGAAGTAAAAGTCATAACAGGTTGTAGAACGTTCTACAAGACAACTGGCCCGGACTCTTCAAAAATGTCAATGTCTTAAAAGACAGAAAATGGCAGGGGGACTATTTTAAAGAAACGGGATAACCACGATCTTTGATCAGATCCTGACTCAGGAAGAAGCTATAAAGGATACTTTAGGGACAACTGGCCAAGTCTGAACATGGATCGCATATTAGACAATATAATTGTATCACTGTTCAACTTCTTGGATATTAATAAAGACATTGAGGTTATGTAGGAGAACTACCTTATTATTAGGACATACATGGTGAACTATTTATGGAGGAGATAGTCTCAAGCTTACTTTTAAACGCATCGGGGGAGGGGGAATGTGTATATGTGTGTATTTATAAAGACAGTGGGAAAATAAGGCTGACGGTAAAATGTTAGTTGGTGAATTTAAGTGAAGGGTATATGGGTGTTTGTTACATGATTCTACTTTTCTGTAGGTGTCAAACTTTTTAAAATAAACTGAGCAAAAAGGGAGATGGTGCTTCACTGAGGTAGAATCCAAAAGTTTGATGAAACAACAATGAAACAAGATATCTGAAATGGCAGCTTGGAAAACTGAAATACATCAGCTAGGAGAGGAACCCCAGTGCTGGCAAAGAAGCCCCAGGCCAGGCTCCCAGGAGCAGCAGGTCAGCTGGGGCTAGTGGGAGGAATTAGACTAGATGGGTGAATTCTTCACGCAGATCAGAATCACCAGAGTATTTTCCAATCTAACGCAGTTTTCCACATCAGTTTTCCATGCAGTAGAAAAGATTTCTCATTGCAGACTCCTAACTCAAGTTTCTAATACAAATCAGACTTCCCATCGGCCTCTGGACTCTGTCCTATACAAACGGCAATCCTGTAACACTCCCTTCCACCCCTACTCCCACATATACAATCAGTTTTTCTCAGGTTAAAGGCCTTGGGTGTAACTGTTGTTGGGAACCAAGAATTCAATTTAAGAGAAAAAAGATAAAGTATAAAGACAAATAAGTTACAACCTATATGGTTAAACTTGTCTTGGAAATGACAGTATAAACTCATGAGGTTGTTTGCTTTGTGCTTTTCAAAATACATCTAAGCTCTGTCCACTGAAAAGGCCTAGACACCACAGCAAACTAGTAACAACATACAGTTCTAGTGCCCAGATTTTGGTCTCTACAAGGATCCCCAGGACTCCTTGAAGAAATGGCTGATTCCACAGCTAGGGCAGGAAATGTATAAAATGAGCCCAAGATATCTCGTTGCACCAGAGAGCAGGCAGGTACGAAAGGCTAATGAGGAAATGTCGAAAGAGCTTATCACAGGAGCCAGCCTAAAGGAGCGCCCACTGACCGAAGCTAGTGGACTCTGAGCAGCAAGAACAATGGCTGCAATTTATTGAAATATATTTACTACATTAAAATCCATGAATTCACAATGGTGCTTTTTTTAAAAAGCCAAAAATGTAGAAAAACCACGTCATCACTAGCTAGAACCAACTCGTTATTCTGCAAATGTGTCAAGACAAGACAAGAATAAAACATGAATCCTGCTTTCATTTACAAACTAAATTGCCCTAGGCGGTGAGGAAAAAAATCTCTTAACAGAACTCCAGCTAATAAATGCGCCAGGAATGACAGAATTTGAGAGTCATTCACACACAAACACACACACACACAAACACACACACACACACACACACACACACACAATTAAAGCACTGATCAACAACGAACATTGAGAGCTCTGGAGAAAGACTAATGGGGACCTAGCTATGTGCAGGATGACAAAGCATCCTCTGGATACATGCTGCACTGCGCTCCGCCCTGCAGATCATTGCTGATCACAAGCAGATACACTGACCGTCACAGGGGAAAGATCAGTCGGTAACTACTTGAACCCACGCATCAATCTTACCATCACTATGAGTAGGACATCCATACCTCCTGATCATGATGCACTATGAGATACGAATACATAAATAGCATCACCTACAAAGCGCTCTCGCCAAATATGTTGAATCTGATTCTAATTAAAGTTTGAGATCTAACTCAAGTTTACAGAAAATACTAGGGGTAGAGAAACAAGTCCAAAAAAAATACCATGAGGGAGCAATGAGACAAATCCAGAAAGTCAGATATTGTATAGAAGAACCGATTTGCCCTTTTGACGAGTTGATAACGAAATAATGAGGGGGCAGTGGAGGCATACAACTCTTCTGGATGAAAACAGCCTTAAGAGGCTGCACAATTCTGTGAATACACTAAAAGCTATTAAATGGTACAGTTTCAATGGGTGAATTGCATGATATGTGAATTCTATCTCAATAAAGCTATTTAACCAAGAAAAAAAAAAAAGAACAACGGGCTTAACAGACATAGAAATCAAGTATAATATGTGGCCCTTGTTTGGATCCTAATTTGAACAAATCATTAAAAAGATATTTGGGGAACACTGAATATGAACTATTAGAATATATTAAGGATTTACTAATATTGTTGCTAAGTGTGCTAATGGTAATGGTAAGAAAATACCTTCTTTTTTTTTTTAGATTTTTTTTATTGGGGAATTGGGGGGATGGGAACAGCGCTGGGGAATTGGGGGAAGGGGAACAGACAAGTTGCTGTC